CCTCAATCGTCGCAATGCTCAATCCTTTGTATGCTGTGTTTCACCACAAAAAAAAAAAACCGCTGCTCCCCTACAGAAGCATGCGTCTGGGATCCTCAATGTACTCCTTGACCTTGACTAAGAACTGGACGGCTTCCCTTCCATCAAGAAGGCGGTGATCATAAGTAAGCGCCAAGTACATCATGGGGCGAATCTCGATCTTGCCGTTGACGGCCACTGCGCGGTCCTTGACTGCGTGGAGTCCCAGGACGGCAGTCTGGGGAAGGTTGATGATAGGGGTGCCCATCAGAGAGCCAAAGACACCGCCGTTGCTGATAGTGAAGGTACCGCCAGCCATGTCCTCGATGGTGAGCTTGTTGTCGCGGGCCTGTGATAGCTCCATATTAGCGTTGAACCTTGATGACGTAGTAGGGACATCATACCTTCTTGCCCATGTCGGCAATGGCCTTCTCGATACCGAGCATGTCCAGCGATTCGGTGTTGCGCACAACAGGGGTGACGAGACCCTTCTCAGTAGCGACCGCAACGCTGATGTCGACGTAGTCGCGGTACACAATTGTATCGCCGCCGTTGGGGCCCTCGATGGAGGCATTGACGGCGGGACTATCGCGCATGGCCAGAACACAAGCGCGGGAGAAAGCGCTCATGAATCCAAGCTTGACGCCAGTCTTCTTGAGGACGTCATCGCGATAGAGCTTGCGGAACTCAATGAGGGAGGACATGTCAACCTCGTTGAAGGTGGTAAGCGAAGCCGCTGTGTTCTGCGACTGCTTGAGTCTTTCGGCGATTCGTAGGCGCATGCGGTTCATTTTCACCTGCGAAGAATTTCTGGTCAACTCTAATGCTCACGGGAAAGACTGCGCGCAGGGGCGCAGGGGCGCAGGGTTTGTGAGAGTAGACATACGCGACGTTCCTCACGGCTGCCAAACGCCGGAGCGGCGCTCGTTGCCGACTCCTTCTCAGGGGCGGGGGCAGGTTTTGATGTCTCCTTTGCCGGGGCAGCGGGCTTGCTGGCAGGCGCAGCATCCTTGGGCGCCTCCTTCTTGGGTTCCGGCTTCGATTCTGACTTGGATGGCTCTGATTTGGATTCGGGTTCCGACTTTTTCTCTTCGGCTGGCTTGGATTCGCTTGAGCTGGACTTCTCACCCCCGAGCTCCATCTTCACAATATCCTGGCCGACAGTGACGGTGTCCTCCTCGTTGACCAAGAACTCCTTAATCGTACCGGCCTCGGGAGCATTAACAGCGACATCGATCTATGCAACAAAAGAAAGAACTGCAGTCAGCAACTGTAACGTCATTTCACCCAAGGGTACTGAATGGGAAAAAAGCTACCTTGTCAGTCTCGATGGTGGCAATCTCCTCATCCTGCTCTACGAAGTCGCCGACCTGCTTCGACCACTGCTTCAGGGTACCTTCAGAAATGGACTCGGCCATCTGCGGCACTTGGACGATTTTGTCGGCATAGCTGCGGACATGTTGCATCATCTGGGGGAGCTGCAGCGGCAGCGAGCGCGGCTGGTACCGGCGCAGCGGCACGGAGCGCGCAGTCGCGACAAGTCTTCTCGAGAGCATCGTGACGGGTGCTCGATGAGGTCTGTGGGGAAAAGGAGAGAAGAGATGAGCGTGGTTGTGTTTTCTGTTTTTTGGGTGCACTCTGGTAGGCTGGTCACACTTCCCGTCTGCGAGAGACCCACAGGTTGGACGGGAAATCGAGGAGCATCGGTAACTGGTACAAAGGCTATGAGCAAAGTAGTACCTAGGTAGTAGGCGGGCTAAGGAATGGGAAGAAATATAGCTACGCCTCTGCCAGTAAGTACTTCGTAAAAATCTCTATGATAATTAGAGGTTATAAAAGTAGTAGCTGAGAATAAATATAATATAAAAATTAATGTAAGCTAATTAATAAGATATAAAAATGATTACAACTTATTATAATTAGCTTTCTAGTTATATAAATTCTAATTATAATAACTCTATATTTAATATTATAATAGCACTTAATTAAAAAATAAATAATAGAAAAAGAAAGATATTAATACTTTTTTTCTTTAGTTTTTTTGTTCTGAAAATAAAAAATACTTAAAGGGCCTTAAGCAGGAAACGACTTTCAACTCTCAGCTGCCATACACTCATTCACTAGGTACTTAAGCTATGTCGAACCTGGAACCCCCTATCGGCTAATGGCGCCTCAGTGCGGGAGATAACGGCACAATATCTTGGGGTAAGCGATGACCTAAGAGCGTTGGGGGTTGCCGCTGTAAGCAGAGGAAGGGTACGCAACGTCGGCCACACGCCGCTTTATCAGCACAAATGTAATACCGTAGGCCTTCTAACATGCCGGGTAGCAATCTTTAATCGAGCGTTACCAAATGTCTGGCAAAATTCTTCTACCACTTCATGCCTCAAAGCTGTCACGTTGAACGTGCGTATTTCTCAACGTGAAAAGCCCGGAGCCATGATGTTCCAAGCAAAAGCGGCGACTGACTTAAGCTGCTCCACCGAGGTGTGGCCCAACAGTGCCCGTCAGCCACGAAAAAATCATGCCCCGATGGCCGAGAGCTCCAATTCAATCCGAAGCTTGCACAGCCGTAGCCCATCCAAACTCATCCGCCCATCCACCCGTCGACCCTCGCTTGCCGTGAATCGCCGTTCATTAACAGCCCGGCGCATTCTCTCCCTCTCCATCATCACCGTCATCTTCCTCTCGTCACCACGTCCGAACATACATCGGAATAGGTCACCATGCTCTCCAGTCGATTGATACCGCGCGCTGCAGCCAAGTCGGCTTTCAGGAAACCCTCGTAAGGAACCATGATAGCAGAGGCTCATTCATCCTTTTGAAGCTGACAGCTATTTGTAGCCTCCCCGCCGTCGCACCCCAGCTCTCCAGATGGAGCCGTGCCTACGCCTCGGCCTCTGGTGTGTTGCCTATACCCCGAATATACTCCACGTGAAACCACTGACACGGTACCAGAGGAGAACGACCTCGTCGTCATTGGCGGCGGCGTTGCCGGCTATGTTGCTGCAATCAAAGCTGGTCAAGAGGGCCTGAAGGTTGCCTGTATTGAAAAACGAGGCACTCTTGGTGGAACATGCCTCAATGTCGGCTGCATTCCCTCGAAGGCACTTCTCAACAACTCCCACCTGTACCACACCATTAAACACGACACTAAGAACCGTGGAATCGATGTCTCGGACGTCAAGGTCAACCTGGAACAGTTCATGAAGGCCAAGGACACCGCTGTCGGCGGCCTGACCAAGGGTGTCGAATTCCTCTTCAAGAAGAACGGCGTCGAATACATCAAGGGTGCTGGCACTTTCGTCAACGAGAACGAGATCAAGGTTTCCCTCAACGACGGTGGCGAAACCTCTGTCAAGGGCAAGAACATTCTGATTGCGACTGGTAGCGAGGCCACCCCCTTCCCCGGCCTCGAGATCGACGAGAAGCGCGTCGTCACCAGCACTGGTGCGCTTTCTCTCGACAAGATTCCGGAGTCCCTCGTTGTCATTGGTGGCGGCATCATTGGTTTGGAAATGGCCTCTGTCTGGTCCCGTCTCGGCTCCAAGGTGACCGTTGTGGAGTTCCTCGGCCAGATCGGTGGCCCTGGAATGGACGCTGAGATTGCCAAGAGCTCTCAAAAGATCCTCAAGAAGCAGGGTATCAACTTCAAGACGGGCACCAAGGTTCTGAGCGGCGACAAGAGCGGCGACAAGGTCAAGCTGGAAGTTGACTCTGCCAAGGGTGGCAAGCCGGAGACGGTAAGAATTGGCCCGGAAACTGTTCTGACCCTATTAGATGTTGACTTTTTCACTAGCTCGATGCCGACGTCGTCCTTGTCGCAATTGGCCGTAGGCCCTATACTGGCGGACTGGGCCTCGAGAACATTGGTCTCGACCTCGACGAGAGAGGACGTGTCATTATCGATTCTGAGTACCGCACCAAGATCCCTCACATCCGCTGTGTTGGTGATGTCACCTTCGGCCCCATGCTGGCGCACAAGGCCGAGGAAGAAGCTGTTGCTGTTGTCGAGTACATCAAGAAGGGCCACGGTCACGTCAACTACGGCGTTATCCCCTCCGTCATGTACACCCATCCCGAGGTTGCCTGGGTTGGCCAGAGTGAACAGGACCTCAAGTCTCAGGACATCCCTTACCGAGTCGGCTCATTCCCCTTCAGCGCCAACTCCCGCGCCAAGACGAACCTGGACACCGAGGGCATGGTCAAGATGCTCGCCGACCCCGAAACGGACAGAATTTTGGGAGTTCACATCATCGGTCCCAATGCTGGCGAAATGATTGCAGAGGCCACCCTTGCTCTCGAATATGGAGCGTCCAGCGAAGACATCGCCAGAACTTGTCATGCCCACCCCACTCTGGCCGAGGCCTTCAAGGAGGCGGCTATGGCCACTTACTCCAAGCCAATCCACATGTAAGGCCGGCCACAGCGAGGTGATGGTGTGAGTGGTGGAAAGCTTTGGCGTCCTGAAATAACGACAATCGAAGCATGTAATTTGTATCACCTGAGGGACAGCGGATAGAAGTTCGAAGAGGTAGTTTGTAGCATAAGCATAAGTTTTACGCCAGCTGGGAGGTCATCACCCAAAAAAGGGACACGCTGTTACACCGAATATACTCTCCCGTGATTGAGGTCCTCTGAATAGGTATGTAGCACTAGGCATATAGATAGAGTGCTCTCTGCTGAGGCATGTTGTTTGATTGTACACCTACTCTGCTCGTTGCCGGCTGTGAGACGTTGCCAGCAGTACTAGAGAAGCTACATCTGAAGTCGGTCTCGGTATCTATCTGTTTAAGGTGCTTCCCGTAATATGATGAGTAGACAAGAAACTCTGGAAGATGTTGACTGTAACTGGCAGGGATGTAGCTGGAGACCACAAAGTAGCTTGCAGTTGTCACGTTTGCATGAGAGACCGCAGATGGTAATCATAGAGCTGCTTGGACTCATGCAAGGGCGCACCGGTGTTGTGTCATTCTAGACCATTGTAATTTTACTCATTGATGTTCGAGCTGTTGATCTATGCATCTTCACCCATATCTGGCTTTTCTAGCAACGCCTCCGCCACCTTACACGCCTCCTTGACTTTTCTAGTCTCTTTTTTGCCGCCCACAAGGTCTGTGACTCGTACCTTTTTGCGCAAGAAATAGCTTACGCTCCTTGCGAGGGCTGGCGTCAACCCGCTGCCGAAGCACACTCCAAGGGCCTCCTCCACGCTCTTGCCCTTCATGTGACTGCACTCCTGAAGTATAGTAATGAGCATTACCTCGACAAACAAGCTCGTCTTCTCCCTGACGTAAGCTAGATTGAGTGGCTTGAGGATCCCGAGACTGACAGAGCCATCGGCAACTAAGCTACCCATCATCTTGGCAGTGTTGATGAGACGCCGGTCGTCTAGCCCCTCCTCGTCTTCCTCCTCGGCCTCTTCCCCAAAAAGCGGCTCACCGAGCCTACGGAACAGGGTCCACAAGGTATCCTGAAATGCATGTTTAATCCGTGAATCGGTGCAGAACTTCTTGGATACTAGCGTGTAGAAAGGGTTGTAGTGTTGCTGTGCTCCTGAGCACTGGAGGAGCACGTTTGGCACCTCGCGTCTGTTGTATTTGTTGAGTCGTAGCTTGAGGATTCGCATGTATGCGTCCTGATAGTCGGCAGCTGCAACAAGCGCGATAAAGATGGCCCGTCGAACGTCAGTGTTCATGCCTTGCTCTCTTGCCAACTGCGTGTAATCTTGAGTCGCCAGGTCGTTAGCATCCGCAATCACCACGTCGTCAACATCTCCTGTGGCTGCGACCCCGTCATTATCCTTCTTTTCCTCTCGTGTACCCTGGCCTGCCCAGCTGGCTCCTACGAGCCACCATTTGCCCGTCTTGTCTGCGTTCTCAATATCCTTGAGACCGATGCGAAGGGGCTCTGATGCTTTGAGCTTTTGTGTATCAAGAGAACCCAGAACCTTTCTCATGCGCGTCACATGCTCGCCAAGAACAACCAGATCCTGCGCGCCGGCCTTGATCTTGTTATTCTTGAGGTCACTGATGGTCTCAATCATAAACCTGGTGCGAACCGTCAGGTTATTCTCCCCAATCTTGGCCACCGCAGGACGAATCAAGCTGACGATATCTTTCAGCGCCAACGGGTCGTCCTTGCGTAGTTGAGGCCCTGATACACGGACAGTTCGTAGTAAGAGCTCGGCATTCAGTTCTGATAAATCGCCGAGCAGGAGCCGCACAAAGTCGAATATCAGGTTGCTACCAATGACACGGAACATGTACATCTCCGCAAACACTGTGAGGAGGTTAGACGTCTCCTTCGTGGGTATGCGGCCTTCTTTGGACGCCACGATTGCTCGGTTCCTCTCCTCCTGAAAACGCTCAACAGCCGTGGTAAGGAAATGCGCGGCGAAATCGATACCGATGACCTTGTAGAGGGCAGCGACGAAACCAGCTGATAGGACGAGGAGCGTATCGGGCTTGCTTGAAGGATCGCAGACTTGAGCCATTAACAGGCTTGTCAAGATATCGTTGGTGTGACCCCTCGGATTGTCCTGATAAATTTTGTCGATCTCACCAACAATGGATATCAAGTTTGCTTCAGTGACTCTGTTGACAGGACCCTGCAGTTTCCTTCGGATCTGAGCCTCAAGATCCGCATCGCCGCCTGATCGTGCTCGCAACGATGGCGGGATGTACTTGGGAAGCTGCGTGCCAGCTGAGACTGGTGGAAGATATGGATTCTCTCTGACAGGCTTGGATTTTTGGACAGTCTCCTCATCTCCAGAGTCAAAATCTCCCATTGAGCCTTGGTCATCATAATCGTCCTGATCTTCCATGAGAATTTTATCGTCATCCTCATCATTTTCGTCATCCTCCTCGTCCGATGCTTCCTCGTCTGGAAAAAGCGAATCATCGTCATCTTCGTCGTCGCTTCCTGTTGTAGACCGGAACTTGGCTTGGTCGCGGGTCGCTTTCCTTCGTTTTGCCGCAAGCCATTCATCGGCCTCACTCTTGACTCTTCGGCTTCCTTCATCCGAATCATCGCCGTCGTTAAGATCGCCAAGCAAATCGTCGAGTCCGTCGTCCTTGAAAGCCTTTGGGATTGACTTCCGACCCTTTTTCAAACCCAGCTTACGCTCGAGCTGCTCGATTTCAGCGTCATCCTTGGCTAGCCTTTCTTGCACGGCACGGGAAGGCTGGTTCAACGCTGGATGCTGCTGCGAATTGTCGTCGTCGTCGTCGTCGTCGTCGTCGTCTTGGTCCTTGCTTATATGTCCTCGCTTGCGCTTTTTCGGGGCATGACTGTGTGACTCGTCCGGTTCGTCGAAACGACGTTTGACACCGTCACCCTTTCCGTGTTGGCTGACAGTACGTGGGTTCTGTACGAGGTGGTCCCGTTGCGCTGTTGTCTGTCGCTGCTTTTTTGACTGTCTGTCGGCTTTCCGTCGATCTTTTCTGTTCTGTCCCTGGCTCTTCCAACGAGGATTGGACCTAGAGGTGGCAGATGGCTCCGGCGCACCAATCTGTTTGAGCAGCTGTGTTGGTAAGGCGAGCGGCTTTGGAGGCATGTCGTCGGTTGGTGAGACGTAGAAACACGATCTCAGGATTTGCAGTAGCAACAGAACCAGGTCTCGTCGAATGATGCAGAATCTCTTGCGCCAATGCCGACTTCAAGAAACTTTTAAGTGGGGCAAATAGTCGAATAGGTACACTACGGATACCTGAGCACCGACTCACCGATACGCAAACGCGCCACACCCCGCTTCTTGTACCTAGGTAGTGGGCGAACAAGACCATTCTCAGATGGGGTTTCTGTGCTTTATTTTCACATAATACCACAACTTTCATTATCGTTAGACCTCGTGAATTGAGTTTGAAGAGAAACTTAGAAATAATTCAAGTTGGTTATAACTTCATATAATCTTTTGAAATAAATTTGTCTAGTAAAAAGTATTTAAATAATGAAAATATTGCTGTAAACTTGCAAATCTACAGGGCCATACTTTAGGTAAGAACCTTTCTCAATATTGCTTACTTCTTCTCATGGTTCCACTTATAGAGTTAAGACGTGATTCATTGCTCTGAAAAGCAAAATCCACCGCCCGGGGCCCATATACTTTAGGTAGCTTAGCCTTGCTGCGGGGGATGACCAAGGCCGCGCACAAGCACCCCAGCAGCCCGCTTCGCCGTCACCAAACAGACTGCACTTGTACATCGACATCCCACCATTCTCAGCGTCTTTGATGGGATAACACACCGCGCAGCTGCATTATCCTACTGTCGTGGTGCTTCGTCTGGCCGTAAACGACGCTAGATGCTCCGGTGACCATGTTAGCTCACCTCAGTCACGAAGAGGTATACTCCTTCCCATTCCGTGTCATGTCTGAAGCGTCCTTCTACTAGTCAATGGTCTCGCTAACCATCAAACTATAGTTCTTTGGCAAGTTGGCCGAGCTCTTCGAACAACGCAAGAGCAAGGGCCATGGCTCGATATTCCTCGTCCAGAAAAGATGTACGTCCACCACATCGTAGCCGCACCCCGAGACTTCCAAAGACTCATCGTGTCCTCTAGTAACCTACGGCCAAGAAACGTCCTTGACACCATCCGGCGATGGATCCTTCTCCGACCTCCACCCCGCAAACCCGCTCCCTGTGATTGTGCGCGCGACAAACGGCAAGTCGAAGAAACATAGAGACGACAAGATCAAGCTATCGACAATCGTTCAGCCCGATGCGCTGGAATCCTTCTACGCCAGCTACGCCGAGATCTGCAAGGGGGGTATGGCAGCACTTAAGCCCCGCGATCGGAGTAAAAAGAAGGCCAAGGCCAGGAAGAAGAAGGGAGGTGCAGTCACGGCCGTCGCTACGGCCTGAGGAGAGAGTACCTTGACACTATTGCGCCACCGATACAGTCAGGTTATATACCCAACGTTTGTCCCCGATAAGGCAGCGCAGGACTTACAGCGGGCCGAACGAGCTTACAACCAGACATCACGGACATTTCGTGTACGCTTCTGGCACAGGGCCTGGTACACATCGTTCTGCATTCGAGGGTACATGTGGGTGCATTCCCACCATACCACCTTCGTGTCCTCGGTCTCTATCGAAGGTTTACAGATGACAGCTAGGGGCTGTATGGAAAGAGTGGCTCAAGGGTGGAATACATGCCCTTGGTACCCATGATGACTGGTCAGTGTCTAGCCAGCAATCCACTTCATGTTATCAAATGTTATAAGGACTTGACTATCACTGTGCTGGCTGTCATGTTGTGCTTAACACTTGATATATGAGTCTCATACAAAATACAAGCCTTCCCCAAACCCCTCAATAGCCTCTCTCACACTGTTGCATTTCTCGCACTCCCCTCGTCTGGGCCTCTTCGGGTTTCCAACGTACATGCAGAGACTTTCTGGGCACTTGAAGGTTTGATCGCTGCCCTCGCAACTCGCTAGTCTCTTGCGTTTCTGCCACCTCAACCCGCACCCTGGGCACCGGTAAAGATGTAGTTCGCACATGTTTGTAGCATTCGTGTATGCTCGATGTAAATAACAGTGAAGATGATTTACCGTCTCCAAGTAGGGTTTTACTAATCACTTGAGAGTTGAAAGGTTGGATCCAAGGAACACCTGTTGCATGTGTAGAGATGTACAGCGATTCTTCATCATTTTATCAAAATTGAGTTGTATGCGTATGCAGATTCTCTCTGACTGGGAAATCTGATCTACTGTCGTTTCAGCTTGCACGGAGTTGCAAGACCAGGGTCGCCAGCCGTAGTTTGAACATCTGCGAAACCTGTGGTTTGCTGAAGCAAGCTGCTTGGTGGAATAAACACACTGGCCATGACACATTTGCTGTCAATGGGTCGCGCCCACCCCCTTCGAGGTATCACTCCTAACATTGGGCGCAGTCTAGATAAATGAGATGTCCCTTGTACCACACGTAGATTGTATCCCTCTTACCATCGCGACCAATGGCCTAGTACTTCATGTCTCAAGCGCTGTCAATGTGAATTTCGTTTGGCTGTATGCTGCTAAATCATCATGTCGGGGTCTTCTAGTCTCACACCGATCCGCCGTTCTTGAATCTGAGTTCTATTCGAAATACATTCAAGGTAGAGGAGTCTTATTCACCTCCTACCTGGCTGGCTGGCCTCGGAAAAAGGCGAAGAAACACATCCAAGGATAACTTTTTTCTCGCAGGCCCGCATCTACTTCGAGCAGAAGCTGCTGAAGTACCTGTCTGCGATGACTACACGACTGAGACAGATAGGACCCTCGTAGGTAACTGATAACAATGGCATTACGTGATGAGGAGCCGATGGAGAATGGTCGACGAGTTGTGCGCTGCAACCGATTATGACCGAGTCCATCCTGCCTTGAGAACCCGAAATGCAACTCGAAAAGAAAATTTTGCCATTTTGAAAGTGAGAGCAAACGGAAAGGAAAGTGTACCGTTTTATGAGAGTACAACAACAATTTTGCAGGCTGTTGAATGATGGCCTGCCATATCGAATGACCGGGCTGTCGCTCATGTGAAATGACGAACAAGCCAGGGCCCAGTCCTCCGAATGCCATGTTGATGGGGCATCACCTCATTCGAAACCCTTTACATGATCTGATCCTGCGTCAAGCCCGCGTGGACATCGGTATCCATGCTATCACCACCACCTTGAGCGTTGAGGTATCTGACGAAGCTCAGTCCCAACGGTCGGCCACCATATTGGTAGCCCTGGAACTTGGCGATTGCAGTTTCCGCAGTCTCTGCAGAGTCGAAACGGACCACGCCAGTTCCGCGAGAACGACCGCTCGGCTCGTACTGAATCTCGGCCTGTTCAACCTTTCCGATAGTCGTGAACAGTTCAACTAGATCCTCGTTGCTCGTGGACCAGGGAAGCTATCCAGTGTCAGTAGGGTTTTCCAAGAGGAGCGAGAACATGGACCTACGTTTCGTGTATAGATGACCTCGCTGCGATCGGTTCCAGCGGTTGCGTAGTCAGTAAAGGGGTTAGGAGGCACAGAAGGAGCGTTGCCGGCGTCAAAGCCGCCAGGACCACCGGGGCCGCCAGGACCGCCGGGGCCGCCAGGGCCGGGGCCGCCGCCGCCAAAGCCTCCACGACCGTACCCACCGCCGCCAAAACCACCACGACCACCGCCAAAGCCGCCTCGACCGTATCCGCCGCCGAAACCGCCTCGCATGCCGCCACCGAAGCCGCCTCGGCCTCCGAAGCCCATGGGGCCTCCTGCGCCAGCGAATCTGTCCTCACGGACTTCGAGGAGACGTCCTTGCCAGTCATAACCGTTGAATTGCTGAATCGCATTGCGGGCGTCGTCGGGGTTCTCGAACACGACAATTCCCGATCCCTTGGGGCGGCCATCAGGTCCTAGATGAACATCGGCGCGGATTACGACTCCGTTGCGAGCTAGCACATTCGACAATAAGTCTCCAGGTATCATTGCGACGGGGGCCAATAGGGTTTGTTGGCAAGGGAACTTGGAGTGTTCTACTTACCAGCCTGTCTGAACAGGTCCTTCAGGTCTTGCCAGCCTACGGTGTAGGGAAGCTACGAGCAACTTCAGTCAGTATCGAAAGCGCTGGGATCTGACGCCAAGACGAGGGGTAACAAACGTTGGCAACATAGATCTGTCGGCTGCCCCCGCCGGGATTGTAGCCGCCGCCGCCACCGCCGCCGCCGAAACCACCGGGGTTCATTCCACCACCACCACCGCCACCAAAGCCGCCGCGGTTGGCAGTGGCGCCGATGAAACGAGGTTCAGCTTCGCGATCCTGCGAGCCCATAGTTAGACGAGATTCGACGAACCACGAACTGGCATTCCACGACGTACCTCTCGAACGTAGACAAGTCGACCCATGAGGTTCTGGTTGCTGAGGGTAGCCACAGCGTTCTGGGCTTGGTCCCGCGTCGCATATTCCACAATTCTGCGAATTCGCCGTTAGCATCTGTCCCAGTTGGACCTGGGGGAACAAGTGAACTTACCCGCATCCCTACATACACCCATGGACACAAGTCCCAACCCGTCAATCCAACGATTCCATCAATAGCCAGAGGGAAGAGTCCACAAAAGAAAAAAACCAGCCATAGACTACGTGTAGAAGCCCACCTTCGACATTCCATTTGGAAGTAATAACACGTCGGCGAAGAGAACCTCTCCCGCTGCACCACCACCAGTCAGCTTACGCAACCCAGGCCACTTCGCCAAGAACCGCACTCACCCTGTCGCATGAAGTCCTTGAGATGATGCCACTTCACATCGTAGGAAAGGTTGCCGACGTAGACGCGGCGATCCTGCTGAGACGTTTCCCTAATATTGCTCATCATTTGCTCGCGGGCGGCTGCGCGCTCCTCATACGATCGGTGTGGCGGTGCCCCTCCGTAGCCAGTGCTAGATCCTCCAGACGGAGCGCCGGTTCCAGTCATGGGGGAACGGTCTCTCCTTCCGCGGTATTCGTCTCTACTACGGGATCGGCTCCGAGGAGAAAAGGAACGGCGTCTTGATGCGCGGTTGGGACTGCGCGAACGTCCACGTCGAGGCGATCGAGATCTCTCCCTCTGTTGCAAGTTAGCGATCAACGTCGCCATTGGCCGAAGCGTGTATTCCCAGAGGACTCTGCTGTTGTTTCGCAAATCACTTGACGTTGGTGAAAAGTAGTTGACGGGAGGCGTGGTTTGATGGCGTCAGGTTAGGTGAGGGGGGGTAGCTTTGGAGGCAGGGAGATGAACAGGGTTATGTCTGCAAAGCAGAGAAGGCGCACCCGGAAGGCCAGCCAAACAAGGTCAGGCAGGCGCTGCACCACCCTCGACACCTTCCTCTCCTAAATGCCCGGGTGGAAAGAAGCAAGGGTCGGTGAATCGCAGAACCAGCGCAACTGGAGAATGAGAGTGCGGTAATGATGAAGCGCCTGCTAGGCCTTCCGTCTTCTTCAAGATGGCGTGGCACGACTTGCGAGCATGAGGATGGTGGGAAGGGGGACCGCAGCGGAGGCACAGACACCGGCTCGGGCGGAGAGGAACGGGGAAAGCCTAGGGCCAGGTACCGGCTCGACAATGATTCCGGACGGTCGCTTTGAGTTTGGGACAACAGAAGGAATTGGGGTGATCTTACACTCACGGGTCGATAGGTGTCGCCGGAGTCAGCTACAAGAATTTGAGTTAGTTCGAATTACCGGAGAGCTAGGGGATTTCCCAGAGCATATGGGACAAAAAAGCAACAGTAACACGAGAAGATGGCTAAGGAGATAGGAGGAAAGGGAGAGAGGAGGAGGAGAGGAGGAGAAGCAAGAGAAGGAGGGTACCGGCGAGGATATTTGGATACCTTACTCGAAAGGTGGGCAGCAGCGAAGAGGGACGAGGGGGGTACGAGGCCAGTTGGTGGAGAAGGAGTGGAAAGGAAATGCAGCTGGCGGACGGTACGCAAGGAAGGAACGGTATTCGTTCAGTTTTTCGTGCTCTCTCTTTCTCTCACTCTCTGTAGAGGAGGGGGTGGGAAAGCGAGGGGGAAGCAGAAGGGAGGGGTGGGTGGGAGAAGGAGAATGGATGTGGCGGGGAGGGGGGGAGGAGGACCATCAAGCCTATGTAAGGCAAGAAAGATATGGGCTGGGCTGAGGTAGGTCGGTGTTCTTCTCACGCATGTATATGTAAGGCATGGCATGAATTGATGGATCAACGGATGGGGGGATGATTGGGATTGCACGGTTGGGTGGATGGAGGGATGTCCGCATGTGTCCCAAGTCAGGCATGCGCGTGTACGAAGGGTGTACAAAAGGCAGGTAGGCATGAGCGAGCGTACGTATATGTAAGGCTAGACATGGACAATACTGCCCCTACGTGCCTAGGACAGCGGCAGGAGGGAGTGTGAGGCGAGTGTAAGGTAGGGGAGGTGACAGGAGCTGCTTGGAAGATGCTAGCTGCAGGACCTGGGGGGGTAGGAGGAGGAGGAGGGGGGGGGGGGAGAAAGCGTTCATCACAGCAATGGACGTGGTTTCCAAGCTGGAGAGCTGTTGCGTCGTTTCGGATCAACATGAGGGATGGAGTCGGGCTGGGCTCCTACTCCCAGAAGAGCATGGAAAGCTCCAGCTCCAAACCTCAAGCCTGTGCTGGATCGGACCAAGGGAACATGAAAGGGTACATTCGGATCGAGAAGGTCCATGTAATAAAAGCGAATGGGGGTAAAGTAATGAGACAGGAGGGGGAAGCAGGTGAAGCCAGTGCCATTGCAGCTCAGAGACGGTACTTTGAGGCAAGGAAGACGCGGTGAAGTCGCGGTACACCGTACGTACGGTGGAGGCTCAATCATGGGAAGGAAATAGAACGGAAGGTAGGGAGAGTGACCATCCAAGGGTAGATGGCGAGCCGCAAGACGACGAGCCGGTGATGGTAGTGCTGGGGGACAACGGATGGTAACAAGTGAAGAGGGAGAAAGAAAATGAGAGATCCGATCAAGACTCACCCATTGTGACGGACGACTCGGGCGATGCGAGAGAGAGGGGGTGAGAGTGGTAAAGATTGGTCGGCAACTCGATACAGAGTATGTTGTGCCGTGTTGCGATGTGAGGCGTTGTTGGTTTGTTGCTGCTGTGCGTTGCTTGCCGTGATGCGATACGTTGTGAAGTGATGTGACGCGCGCGCGTTACTGTCCTGAAGAGATACCTGAGGTCGGGTCAGGCAAGGTAAGGTATCGGTGGATGGAGAAGGGTGTTGAGGTAATGTGGGCGGCAGGCGCAAGGCGACCAAGGTCAGGTAAGGTAAGGTCAGGTCCTGGCAGGGGAAAGAATGGATAGCGTGAAAACAAAGGACAACGGGTCCAGTCTCCCCGTGTGTTTGTGTGTGTGCGTGTACGAGGTGCGCGCGTGTGTGAGAGGTGAGAGAGAGGTTGGGCGGGTAAGGCAGTGAGGTGACAGGAGTGAATGCGCGTGTGGTATAAAGCTGTGTGTGTGAGTGGGCAGTGAGGTGGGCGGCGAAAGCAGAACGGAACGGAGTGATTTGACACGAGCTGGGTCGGAAGAACCTCAGCGACGCGGCTTTGAAAGCTGTGGCGCACGCGTGGGGGCGGCTTCACTGCCTAAAGTCCAGACGATACTGGCGACTGGAGCTGAGGAAAGATAACTACTTACCTGAGGTAAGCTACCTAATCTACCTCAAGGCAAGGTGAGGTCGGTAAAGGTCTGCTAGGTAAAGCAAGGTAGACCTCGGTCAGTATTCAGGTTCCAAGGTAAGGTAGGTAGTTTGTCCAAGGCTGCAGATGGCAACTGACAGAGGTGGGTTGCTGAGGAAGGTGTGATGCCAATGGAAGAAGTGCCTAGTTGTACGGAGGAGTATGGAGCACTGAATCAATGGATGGGGAACTGTTTGGCGAGGTGGTAAGGTAGGTAAGTGGTAGGAGGCACGGAGGATGTTGTGCCTTTCCGGTCAGCCAAAAAAAGAAGCGAAATGTAAGGCAGGCACGACAAGGTAGGTACGATGGGGGGGGGGGGGAATGGGTGAGGCGACTGAGGCCACCAGCCGCTCACCTCTCCTCTCGGCGCGACTACAGCCAATTAGAAGCCAGGATCTCGAGAGGAAAGGCTCCAAGGGCGCCAGGCATCATCAGGCATCCATCGTGTTGGGTCGTCAATGGAAGCTCGACAGCTGAGGTAGGCACGTTCGAACTTCGAGGCTTCTTGGTACGGCAAGGTAAGTGGAGGTACCTAGGTACCTAACGTATCTGAGATGATAAAACAAGCAGGCACGCAGGTGAGGGCACGGCGACTACTAATGGAAGGTAAGGTCAGGTGCCTTATGCATCTCATGATTCCCCCCTCATCAAGCCTACCGTTAGATACGGATTGCCGTAGGCACACCACGCATTGCCTACCTTATTCGGTGGCTTAGGTACACTAGGGTACGCAGTAGTGTCGTCGTCTTCAAGATAATCAAGGTACCTAAAAATTCTTGGAATTTACCTACTCACGTCGGATTCGACATTGCGCCCGTAGCTCCCATCCTGATCCGTGCATAACCCGTCGACGTTCCCGCGGAACGATTCTCCACGTTCATTGGTTACAGGTGAGCTGTGCTTGTGGAGAAGAGCTGCAGGTAATCATGTAATTAATGTGAACACTGAACAGGCACAGCAGACGGCGGAGCTCTAGCACCGTCAAATGACGAATCATGTTGGTGGAGAGAATGGTCCAATTCGTTACGAATGGGTACCGGGAACGCGGCATGCTCTTCACTTTTGCGCCTTGCTGCTGCAGGCCAGCTACGGCCTACCTACCTACCTGAGCTACGGCAAGGTAACATCTATTACTGATGCACTACCTACTCCGTCCACGGCATTGGCACCTCAGCGACGTCTGATTTGATGCCTACCTCAGCTAAGGCACACACCCCCACCCCTTGAGCATCGAGCGAGCACCGAGCAGTGAGGTCTGACTGTCCCGAAATGGCGGCAGAAATGAATATTTCCCAACACTCGACGTTGAAACCACCATTGTCGAGGTATTACCAGGATCTACATACGGATGCAAAGGAACGGTACCAGCAATACAAACAACGTGTCTAGCCAGCCGAGTACGGTATTCTGTGGACGAGAGGCAGTTGGCATTTCTCCCTACTGATTTTATTTCCGCAAGGAATATCTCAGCAGGGCTCCTTCAGCCTGCCTTATGCGTATACCGTATGAGGAGTCGAGAAACTAGACAGCATCGAGACTTGAGGGATGGTCAAAACCTTGCATACACGCGTCCAAGGTACAGCCCTACCTTGCCGTATGATGTTAGGTACCTACCTCCCCACTCTGTCCACCAAGGTGTCACATCCCCAGGAAGGTATTCCCGCTATCCTCCCTGTTCAGCTGTAACCTTGAGGGCCATAGTGGCCCTGCTGAGAGCCGGCGACCAGTCTTCCACGACTCATTCTTCACAGTCTTCACACCAAGGCAAGTAATAAATACAGTCCGTATCTTTGGCGTTTGCCGGCGGGAGGGCCCCGGTCTGAGTGTGGATCGAAAAGCCCGCCTACCTAGCTGTGCGGACTGCAGCCCCCAACCACTGATAGACATACCATCAGCTGGACTAGTACCTCAACCGTTCCGTTGGCTAAGGTAGAAGTCCCGAATATTCCCACACTGCTCCGTAGATATGAGGACATTTCCTCGGCCCGTTGATTTCGTGGAGTATCAATAACTATACCCGACGTACCTCAAGCAGTATCGGCAGATACGTCCTTGTTTATGGCTCCGAGCTAAGGTATTGCTCACCAAGATGCACATATCAGTTGAGAGATTGATACGGAATAACTTGAAGCATGTTATAGTGCTCAAACTAAGTCGTCACATTGATGTAAGTGCGTAAATATGACCTGAATCACAGCATCTGGAAAGCAACCCAATCAATATCATTGCTTGAACCGACCATCAGATTGGCGCAGATGTCGTGTCACCGCGGTGAGAAAAATGAGGCGTCCCGCAGTAAGCCTCTCAATCGTCTACCTATACCGAAGGCAACCCAGGTGAGGGAGGTAGTTAGGTAGTCATAAAAAGTCGACTCCATTTCCGGTGTATTATATTACCATAGATAAACTCCAATCACGATGTATTCTTCCTCACTTTTCATATTCTCTGGTGGTGCACACTGCCCTTGATTGCGTAGTTATAATTCATCAACCTTCTCGCTTGAGGTTGATGTATTAATAGTTCTTCTCATTGAAGTACGAATAGGCATGCCGACTCAAGGGCACAGGGCAAGAGGTACCGGGGCAGCTCAGCGCAATCCCTGGAGAAATTGGCCGATCCGAAGAGCCATTGCGCGCGCGTGTATGACGCCCGGGCGGGTTCACCCGAACGATTCGGGATGGCTTAGCCCGGGGGAAGGACGGGCAAAAAAAAAAAAAAAAAAAAAAAAAAGGCCTTCTGGAATCAGCCAACGTTCGTCGAAGCCACAGACGTAGCAATCCCCATTTGTCAAAAAGCTCGCCTTCTTCTTGCTTGCTCGTCGCCATGTCCATTCCTTGCCGTCCAGCTGCCAGATTGGCATTCCGCTCCCTGCGCCAGTGCCCGAGAGCTCCCGCCGGCGCGCCCCGGGAGACTCGTGCATACCACTCCTACGACCACCCGGATCCGACAACGACCTTCCACCCCCACGAATCAACGATCCTCTCCGCCGCGTATAAGCATGTCCCAGAGCATGGCTTCTCACAAAAGGCCCTTGCTCTTGGTGCCAAGGACGCTGGGTACCTTGACATTAGCAGCAGCGTGCTGCCGGATGGCCCCTTTAGCTTGATCCGCTACCATCTCGTCACAAAGCGCGAAGGCATGGCCGCAAAGGAGAAGGAGTTATTCGAAGAGAGCTCGCAGGTCGGTGTCAGCGAGAAGGTGGAACTACTCACCTGGGAGCGGCTATTAGAGAACAAGGCCGTCATCGACCGGTGGCAAGAGGTGAGCACCGCTCCTGTGTAGATTCTGCACGAAAGACTGTATTGGCTTTAATACTTACGATGGATGCAACAGGCCCTGGCGATCATGGCGCAACCGAGCTATGTGCCCGCTTCTTTCAAGGAACTCGCCAAGTTGGTCGACGAGATCTGGTTCCTTTCCGGCGACACTGCCGTCGACCCTTCGTGGTATACCAAGCGCGCTAGCCTATCCATGATCTACGCGTCGAGCGAGCTGTTCATGACCAACGACAAGTCGGCCGGTTTCAAAGATACCAGAGACTTCCTGAGGCGGCGACTGAGTGAGGTCAAAGAAGCCGGCGGTGTCATGGGTTCTCTGGGACAGTGGGTTGGTTTCACGGCTAGCGCGGGTGTAAACGTTCTGAGGAGCAAGGGATTGCGAATCTAAACCTCCTCAGCGACAACGATTTGTGTATAACAGGAACCACCGAGGTCGAGTTCTCGCTGTGTGTGCTATTGTATAATATTGTGTGTAGTACGCGGACTTTGTCGCCCGCTAATAATGTCCCTGACGCCCTTCCATCCAGCCGTCTCACTAGATACAGTCCCGGCACATGCTACCGTAGGTAGATGAGCCCTTGTCCATGACTATGAGGGGTATGTTGCCCAAACGCCGGCCAATGCCAAAGGACAAACCATTTGTCCCTCCACCCGCGCCTTTTAATTGTACGAAACCTGATTGACCAGAACGCCGTTGCTATTGAAATGGTGTATAAAAGCTGGCCAGCTGGAGCGTTAAACCAACGTCCGTTGCCGGGGGTCGGTCAGACTGTCACATGTGTTAGCCGGAATTCAGACAGGAGCAAAGCGAGGATTGTCCTCCAACATGAGACGACGTACCGGATGATCTTGACGTCCTTGTCGAGCGTGGCTCGTCCTTCGATCGCGTTTGGTGTAATCATGATGTACTGACGTGACACGGAGCGTCTAGCAGCGGTAATCTGAGCAGGACAGTCCTTATTAGCATACCAACTCTATTTGGGTGAATGGAAACCAGACTTACAAGCATATTTGTGCTGATGGTACGGTTGACGTTGTCCATGAAGACGTCAAACTCGTCCAGACATCGCAGGGGTGAGCCCATGGCCTCCCAAATAGCTAGCAGCATGCAGATGGATGAGAATGACTTCTCACCACCCGACAACGTCTTTGTGCTCCGGCCTGCAGTACCCTTACGGGTTTCATCTGGTTCCACAAAGAGTTGCAGCCGACGCTGCGGATGGTCAATGGCAAGCTTGCCCCTGAAACCACGCTCGCTCAACAGGTATTGGAAGCAGATGCGAGCACGCGCCGAGATATGTCGCTGGAATAGTCGCCACCTGTTCAGTCGGTCTTCCAGATTGAGCTTGCCTGCCGCTTGCTCCTCCTGCTGGCCCTTGTAGAGTTGCTGTGAAGCTTCGTATGCAGCCTCAGCCCTGGCCGCCCGTTCCTTAATCTCCTCATCCGACGCTCCCAATCTTTGAGCCCTCTTCTCCAGCTGTTGGTGGATGACAGCGTACTTGCTCTCGATACTCCTGTGAGTCTCGCCTTCCTCGATGTACACCCTCTGCGGCGCCTTGTCCATGGCTTGTGCAGTAAAGTTGGCGACAACTTCGGCTTGTTCATCACGCCTCGATTCTGATCGCTCTTTCTCGAGAACGGCATCGTCACGCTCTTGGAACGCGCGGTTTTTCTCGAGAACTGCCATTTTCCGCAGGTCTTCTGCTTTCTGAACTGCGAGTTGCAACTTCGTAATTCGTGCCTGAAAGTCTTTCATTCTTCCCTTCTCCTCGGCAAGCGTCCTCTTGCACTCTTCGCATCTCTTGTTGAGTTCATCTTGTCGCAGTCGCATTTCGCCATATTGAGTTCCATGGTGCTCTCGCTCGGCTTTGGTCTTCTCCAACTCTTCCCGAAGTGAAATAAGCCGGCCATCTGCTCCTTCGTATTGGTCCAGTTCTGCAGAGATGTCTTCAATCCTGGCCTGAACCCGCCTCAGCTTCCGCTCGAGGGACTGCCCCTGTTGCTGCTGGCTATTCAGAGCAGTGTTGCATTTTGCGACCGTCTGGTCAAGCTCTCGCCGCTTCAGCTCGATAGAGCGCAGGTCTCCACGTAGATGAGTTAGTGATTCCTTTGCCAAACTGATTTGGGTCTGGTCGTCAGACTTCATCCTTGGCGCTCGAGGGAAGGGGTTGATGGTTCCTGTGTTGTATCCCGCACCGCTTGATCGGGCCATGCGAAGGCCAAAACCTCTCTTACCCGCGCCATCGTGGAGAGAGATACAAGCTTGGACGTTTGGTGGAGGCGAATCACTCATCATAACATCTTCTGCCTTGGTCCTTTCTCTTATCAGGACGATCTTGTCAATGGTGTGCGCCACGATGAGCTGACTGCGGACCCAATCATTGTCGAACTTGAGCACCCGGAGGACAGTGTCAAAAGCTGGGTCCGGCTCTCTAAGGTGAGTGTTGGGCGGCAGCCGCTTACTGATGATAATGGGAGGAAAGCGTTGCAAGTTGACTTGGTTCATCAGTTTTGTTAGACGTTGTTGATCGGACTTGTTGGACACAAGGAAGCCATCCAGCGTTGCACCAAAAACTGTCTCCAAAATGGGTGACCACTCGGGTTGAGTGAGCTGGACGTGGGCTCCAAGAGGCCCGACGGGCTTTTCGTGAAATCCACTCTCTCGCTCGATTGCTTGAAGAAGGAGAGGTATCTTCTTATCATAGGCAGCCCAAACAGAGCCTCTATTTTGCTCCAGGCTGCGCAAACGTCCCTCTGCTGAGTTGATTTCGGCCCTCTTCCTGTCGATATCAGCCTTGCCCCCTTGTAAGGCAGCCTGAGCCTGGTTCAGCTCCGCTCTGAGTTGCGGGACTGTATCGTTCTCGTCTACGATTTGTTGTTTGATCGTAGATTCTTCAGTTCTTGCTTCGTTCAGGAGACTCTCCTGTTCCTGGCGAGCGCTTCCAGCTCCAGCGCCCAATCGCTGCTCCTCGGCTTCAATTTTGGTCTCAAACTCGGCCACTCCTTGCCCGGCGCTTTTGAGCCGTTGTTGAACATCTCTGAGTTGGTGGTGTATGTCGGTGACGGATTGCTTGGCGTTATGATACGCTTCTTCAGCAATGGCGATACTTTCCTGAATAGCACCGGCATCCTGTGATTCGGATTCAACTGCACCTTGAGCACGCTCCAGGTACTCATCGCGCTGGTTTAGAGCTTGTGTTGTGCCTTCAATGAGCATAGTGGTGCGTTGAATTTCCTCGTCCAGAGCAGCGACTTCCTCATTGCACTTGACGAGCCCATCTTCTTGCTCAGCTACCTGTGACCAGTAAAGCTGATTGCGGAGACGGCGATAAGTCTTTCTCATTTCTTCGTTCTTCTGAGCAATGTCCTTGAGCTTCTGTGCCTCCGAATGCTCTCTCTTCGCACGACGGACATGTTCCTCTAGGCTTGGAAGCTTCGCCTCATGGCTCTCAAGGATCTCCGTTAAGAGTTTGTAGTCGTTGTCAAGCTGTTCGAGCTGGACACCTCGAACAAAAAACTTGTATTTCATCGAAGGCGAGGACGAGTTGAGGAATTGACGGGCGTTGTCTTGCGACAGGACGTTCAGTGGGTTATCGACTTGCAAAGCCCAGTACTCGGAGATCTCGTCAACGTCTGCCTTCTTTGTAGAAATTGTTTTTCCAGTCACACTCTTGAGCTTGAAACCGCTGGCGCCAGCCCTGGAGAAATGTCGTTCGACTCTGATGGTTTCGCCGTATAGATCGGGTTGATAGGCGTCTATACCCTGGTTCTTAATCCTCACAATGATGACTGAATTGTCTCTGCCTTCTTTGATGAAGCTCTTGAGACTTCCACCTCTGTTGGTAGAGCTAGCCTTGCCGCCAAGACACAATGTCAAAGCCGTGAGAACCGCACTTTTGCCACTTCCATTCTCGCCGACGATGAAGTTGATCAGGGGACCGAGCTCAACAAAGAGGCGTTCGTGGCACATGAAGTTGATGCACTCGACACTCTCAATAATGCCGTTTTCGGCAGCATGGTTGTCGCCGATGCGCTGCGGGCGGCTCTTGATTTTCTGCGTAGCACGTTGATCGTCTTGGTCTTCGTACTGCAAGTGCCTGAAGCCATCATCTCGGGCAATTTCATATTGGGTTCTGGGAGGTGAGTCACGGCCGACTCGTCCATCCTCCTCTTCCTCGTCCGCACCGTCTTCGCTTCCGGAACTTGGGGACTCGTCCCTCTTTGGGTTTGGCTTAGTCGGCTGAGCGGTGTGTGATAGTCGGACTCTCTTTGACTACGGAATTTGAGAAGTGTCAGTTGATATCATGGATATTCCTGGCATCATCTTCTTGGAGAAACATACGGGCGCATCCTGACCGAGGTTAGACCTTCCATGCCGCACCTCAACCAGCTCCTCCTCCTCTCCAGTGCCTGCTTCCGAGACGGCGTGGGGTCTTTTGGCGGGCGCCATGGCGAGTACCTCGGAAAATGCGCCTGCAATTGCGCCTGCCTCGAAGCTTCGCGCAATGGTAACTCGATTTGCCTGTCGCACTATGCGTCGAGAAAGGTAGTCGTGGATGTCGGGTACGTTGGTTATATTGAGCTGGGCGGCCTTCCAGATTGAAGGAGCATAAAAGCTTCGTGCGACGCGTCGAATGGATGGAGGAACGCGACTGGGTAATTGTCCGCGCTGGGGGCTGCGGTAAGGTAGTTCTGCATGCACCTTCCGTTAATCGAGCACTTAACGCGCACAGTGTTTTTGGGCAGGCACACTCGAAAATAACTGTACAGGCAAGACGACTATTTATGGGGCACTCTTCTGAACCACAATGACGGGATACGCCAGCAGCCAGTAACTCCAGTCTCCCGAGTTTGAGATGTAATTATTGAAGGAATTCTATCGATCAGTCCAAGACGATTAGTCGCTGCCGGCAAGTCAAGCCCAAAAACTCTGTCACTGGGGTATTCTGAAATACGTATTCACGAACACCCACACGTTGATACCCAAAAAAAAAAAAAAAAAAAAAAAAAAAAAAAAAAAAACCCTCTTCGGATTTCTGAACTAGCTTGGTGTGAAAGAAGCTCAGCTGAACTCCACTCAAATTAATCGACCGTGTCTGCAAACTGAGCCAAAGCTTACGATTCTGCCATTAAAGGACCACGACAGCGGCCGTCGTCTGCGTGCAGTTCCACAGTCATCTGGCGAGCTTGATCATCTCGAAGTGATCTATCATGGATGGTTCACGAGGAGGGACAGGAGATGGAGAGGACAACCACGAAAAGAACACCCCCAACTTACAGGAGAATTGCGTCGAATATAGTATCTTCCCTGTTGACCCCAAAGCCGCAAGTGATCCACTAAAGCAACTTTCCCGACTCGAAGATCTACGAAAATCTGCTTTGCAACTCGCGAGCTCCCTGACTGCAGATTATATTTGGCAAAAGGGCCTGTTTACTCTCGACGTGGTCACGGAACAAGGTTCGTCCAACTCCAGGATGATCTCGTCTTTCGATTTGAGTGCTAAGACGTCGACAGGCAACTCGTTTCTACGAGGAACGACGGACTACGGGGATGCGATCGAGGACGAATGGCTGATTGTCTTCATCCTCAGGGAGCTTTCCAAAGCTCACCCCACGGCATGGATCCGAGTCTTTGACGCTGATGGGGAGTTTCTTCTCATAGAGGCGGCCAACGTTCTTCCCAAATGGTTGAGTCCTGAGACGGACCACAACCGCGTCTGGATCAACAATGGTCGTCTGCGAATCATCCCTCACACACCCGAGGACGGCGCTAAAATCCGGCTGCTGCCGTTGTCAGATGCTTTGCGGGTCATCAAATCAACCGCTGAATCTCTTTTGCACTCCGAATTCATAGAGGCCGAGGCCTTTTACCGCCTTGAAAAGTACCCTGACCAGATTCGCAAGTCTATACACCACTCGCTCGTGACGATTCCTCGAAGACTTGTCCATGTCCTGCGCCAAACTCCCAAAGCCGTTGCACCAGCTGTAGAGTCATTCTACCTCCGCGATGCGCTAGACCTGAACGCACTCCTGTCCAGCAAGAAGAGTCTCACTTTCCCCCCGGTTGATCTTGTCACAGTGAGCGTCAGGTTTTCCAGGGTGTTGTTCGCTCAACTCAGATCGCAAAGGTTCGAGCCTCCTGCACCTTGGACTGACATTATCCAACGGGCCAAGGGGGTTGAGCATACACGTCTGGAGATTGGCATGAAACTTGCATGTGGATTCGAAATCATGCTCAACAACGTTGAGAAGGCTGATAGCCGTGAAGCCAGGGCGGCTAGCATTGTTGTCGAGGACCTCGAGGAGGATGGAGACTCAGTGCTCCCTACGGACGAACAAATCCTCAGCTGGAAGGATGCAGGTCGCAACGATGACGAGTCCTGGATGGACATCAACTACGAAGACTTTGAAAGGGAGCTGTCGGGACGTCAAGGCGGCTCTCAGTCTCAGCCAAAATCAAGCTTCGGGGATGCTACGACACAAGCAGACCTGCGCAAAATCGTCTCCCGGTTCGAGGCCTTCCTCAACGATGAGAATGCAGGACTAGACGGTGCCGAGATCGATGAAATGGACATTGATGACGACGACGAAGAATCCGAGGGAGGGGAGACAGACGAAGATGATGAGGATGAAGACAAGGCGGTCAGCTTTGACGAGGCGGAGTTTTCTCGTATGATGAGAGAAATGATGGGACTCGCACCCGCAGAGTCCGACTTTCGTGATGCTCCGGGCAAATCACCTGCGGCGACAGAAAACGCTAAGCCCGTCGGGCGGGGCGAGGAATCTGATGACGATGACCTTCGGAAGCTTACCGCTGCGTTGGAAGCAGAGCTCAATGAGCACGGTGCTCTAAAGTTGGATCAACCTCAAAACAGGGCCCTCAAACAGAAAAACCAAGGAAAGAAGGAGACATCTGGCCAGGAAGGCAGTGGACATGAAACGAGCAATGATGAGGAGGCAGACGACGAAGTTGACATTGACTACAATCTGGCCAAGAACCTCCTCGAAAGCTTCAAGGGCCAGAGTGGTATGCCGGGTCCGGCTGGGAATATTCTAGGCATGATGGGACTACAGCTACCGCGAGACGAGGACGACAACTCAGGGCAAGGCAAATAGGAGCGATAAAGCTAGACGGCTGAGATCCTCTAGATCATTAATCATTCTTCATTGAAACGATGATTGCATCTTCCTCCCGGAAGCAACCGTGCGCCAGGCTCTAGACGTGTCTTTCCCCCAAGTATGTTCTAAGAATGTTCGTTCATCATGAGCATCATTGTTCAATACACGACCGCCGTCTACTATTCAGACGATTCCCCGCTCTTCGACCGTTTCTTCGCCGGGCTTGATTCGCCGCTTGGTCTTCTCCCTCTCCGTGCGCCAGCATCATCGAGAGCGTCAAGCTGCGCCAATATAGTGTTCAGCCTCTTCCGTGCCTCCAACTCGCGCTCGTTGATGTCCTTTTGCGGGCGAAAGTATGTCCTGGCAATATGCGTGATTGTATGGTAGCAGTCGTACAGCAAAAGGCGAACGTGCGCCCTCTCCTTGTCTTCAATCAGATCCGAAGAAAACATCGACATGATGGTGTGTCGATTGTTCGAATCTCCGTTGAATCCCGCAAGAAAATCACCACTAGGCTCACGACCGATATTGAGAGCAAACAGCGGGTCTCCAAAGATGAAGTTGCTCCAATCCTTCATGCCAGCCATGACGACTCCATCGTCGTGTTGCAGAGCGAGTGCCGTACTGTCTCCCGAATCCGAACCGGTGTCATACTCATCGCCGACTTCGCTACTTGCGTCACTGCCGCGGCGGTCTGCGTCTTGTAGTCTACCCCGTGGCCTATCCTCAATCAGGGATGAGTCCTCTCCGGAGCTTCTTTTTCTGAATACCAGGGTGTTCACATCTTTCCCGACATCGACGGCCACCAGCCGGGGTGTTTTGATTCCATCCAGCACGTGTTCGAAACGCTTGAACTGCCGTCGGATGGCGCTGTAACCCAGCATCACTTGCATATCCTCCCCATCACGAAGCACAGCCTCTAGCATTGAGTGGAAGGCCATAGTCCAGGAGTGGACTCCTCTTGACTCCATCAATCTTGCGGTGATATCTCGCCTAGCGGGCTTCATGGGATCTGTAGCGGGTGATGGCGCACATGTAGGTAGAACAGCAAACGCAGGCCCAAATCGCCCAGTGGGTGATACATGCTCGCAGAGCTGCCGGTACAGTTGGCCAATCTGAAAATCGATCGTTCTTCGTTCGGACGGTGAGAGTGGTGGACTGAGTTCGGGGATGGGCATGCCTATTGTTGGCTTGACGAGGTTATATTCGAGGCCCAGCTCGTTGGATGCGGCCGTATGTGATATAAGGGTTGGAACCAACGCCCGCAATTCTTGCACCGCAACGTCAGAATGACTAGTGGTTCCGCTCTCAGAAGTAGCTATGGGAGAGGACGGCCTGAGTGAGACTTCCGGTTCCGTGATTTCCTCATGGAGAAGAGGCGTCTCGACAGTTTTGCCAGCAAGCCATCTCAACACGGCAGCCTCCGAGATGACGGAGGCTCGTTCAGATCGCAGGAGCTTGACCATGGGCGGCGGGGGAACGACGAGAACCAGGCTCGCTCCGGTGGAGACTTTGACTCCATAGACGCGTTGGCAATGGACCGATGGCATCACCTGGACTTGTTGGACGGTGGCCTTGGGTACCAAACGGCTTATAACGGTCTGTATGGGCTTTGCCGGAGGAGGAGGCGGCGCGCACATGGACGTCGTCGACACTGTATTGTGGTACAGGTTCTGCCCTATGGAAGGTCGATACGTGACGGGCGGGATGCTGCAGGTTTGCGAAACGCTTTGGCAGGCGAATGGTATGCAAGGTGAAGTCGAGGTGTGAGTGCGGTGACACCGACCAGGAGCCATGTGGTAGGGGTTGGGCGAAGTAGCTAGATATAGCGAGCCCTCTACGGCTTTCCAGGCGAAGGTGTCAGGATTTGCAAGGTCGTGTTGCGGCGTGATATGGACACATGGAGTGGTCCGGCCGGGGACTTTGGACGTTTTCATGCCAACAAGGGCAACACCAAGAGGTCACTCCAATAGAAACGGGGTGTCTAGCGAGGCGGATTCGAAAGGGTGAGCCGGCAAGTGAGGTTTACGGGGAGTATTCGCTTATCTCATCCGGGCCGGATGATGAGGATGATGATGGTAGCGCACCAGGTATGTGCATGAAATCACGGTAAGATGAGTCGACCACAAGCGAAAGGATGTTCGGCGATGAACAGGGCAGAGGGTGAGGGCGTTTGAGAAGCCAGGGGTGTGAAGGTCTGAGTGGGCAGGGCAATGCCAACGATGGAGTGTGTGAAGCTGATCCACACACGAACCCTTGTTGGCGAGAAGAGACGGTGGTCTTCCGAGTAGAGGTCGGGGCGGCAGCTGTTTGAGCTGGCAGGAGTGTCTTCGTACGCCTCAGACGAGAAGACAAGACAGATGAGAGGCACAGGGTAAGCTAAGCTACGCAGTTGCATTGCAGCGGTCGAGGCGAGAAGCGAGACATGGTGAGCGGGCGGCACAAAGACCAGGCTCGAGAACACAAGCTTGATGAGGTAGCCAAGCATTGAGGATGACCTTGAGCTGTTCCAGTACAAGCGAGATCGGTCGAGAATAAGCCAACGCACGAGATGAACTAATGAGAAGGCGCAACAGGCGAGAGAGCAAGAGATTGATAGACTAAGGCCCGATGGCTCGGTGGTGACGGGCGAGGCGTCGTGCAAGGAGCATCACTGGCTGAGTGGGTGGGAAGAGGGAAAGGCGCTCAATGAGCGTGTGAGGAATAAGCGAGAGAGACAACACTAAGAAGCGACGACGTATAAGCTGTCTACTAACATCCTACCTTGAGCCATGTACCTACTTTGCCCATGAGGTGCGCAAGGGAGGGAACAAGCGCGCAAAGGTACCAACGAGCACATTATGGACCTCTATGAGCGTGTGTGTGTGTGTGTGTGTGTGTGTGAGAGAGAGAGAGAGAGAGAGTGACACACAAGCGTGCACGTACACATACAGCAGGAAGACGGAAAGAGAGAAGGAGAGGGAGGACCGAAAATTTGACTGAAGAGTGTGTGAATGGATCTCACGGACATAGACCGAGAAGAGAGATGAGGTACCGTAGTGTAGGTGAAAAAATGTCGGAAAAGGAGAAGACAGGCAGGGGGCCAGAGAGGGACTCTACAACGCAGGATGCCAACAATATACGAAGGAATGTGCCACTTGGGGTCAAGTCAAGCGAGGTTGCAGATGATGGCCTTTAACTCCCCATGGGAGAGAGAGAAGAAGCGTCGTAGTCTTGGCTATTCGTGCAGTGAACCATCTCCACATGCGCATTGGTACGGAGTAGCTTACCTATGCAGGCACTGGCAAGTGAGGCAGATAGGTATTCCTGCAACAAGTCAAGGGGAAGAGCAAAGTGTGCGTGAGCCAGGGACATCCAAGCTTGTCAGTTTTCATCGCGGTGTGAAAAAGGTTGGATGGTCCGCGATCTGGGGAGGTGAGGTTGGTGAAGAAGTGGAATGGATGGAGGAAATCTATTCGCAGGGTTCTCATCATGATGAGATGGGGGCTAGCCTCCAGGGAGCGGGGCGACAGGGAACCCCCAGCGAGACTCTGCATCGTCAAGCGAGCCGGGGATTTTTTGATTGGCCGCAATTAAGCGAAACTGGCGGGTCTCGGATCCCCGCCCGCAGCGTCGGGGCAGCCACCACCCACTCACCCACTCGTTCCTCATCTCACATTCTCACTGCTTCCCACGGATACAGATCCATGCCAACGGATAAACACCCTCAAGATTCAAGGACAGCCATGCCCGGTAAGGTACGATACGGTGTACCTAAAGATGAGATGAAAGCTTTGATACCCCAGGTTAGGGCCAAATGCCAAGTATCTACTATGTACGGCGCCTAAGTTTAGGATGGGTATCTTCAATTGACTATCGTGTCCTCTGCCAATACCAATATCTCATGTATTGAGCGTGCTGCAGACCATTGAAAGATCTGCCATTTTCGAGTTTCTCGCAGCAACGCTGGCCATATTGGGTTGAAAAGGCATCAGATATGATGTCTGCCTCGACGCTTGCGCAATACGTCGGAAATGCAAGCCTGAGATCCAGCCCGCCAGCGCAGGAACTTTTGCTAGCGTCAAGCCGATTTGGCGAAGCATGCTGATGCAAGTCATACTTGAACTACGGAGTACTGTTTCCTCAATCTCTACTTCGTAGTTGCTGTCACCAGTACTCCGTGCACCTCACACCTCAACGTAGAGGTAGAATGTTTTTACGGGGCCGCTGAAATAGGCGTATACCGGTCGCATTATGCAAATGTCAAATCACGCTCGTAATACAAAGGTACCTTGGCACCCATCTAAGTCAGAGCTGGCCAAGTGAGGTACGTAGCCTACCTAGCTGTAGGTAACTAAAAAGACGGGCAATCTAGAAGTTCTGCATCAGACATTTCAAATTCCCCTCGCCCAGCCAGGCGGAATCCACTCGCAAAAGGGCTATGCTGCAAAAGCTTGATATTTACATGCACCAGGTTCGTAATAGTAGCCAATGCTGGCATTCCGGATCGACCTCACGAGGGGGTGGCGCCGACCCCGAGCTCCCACATAATTACCAAGGGCCAGCTGACATGATATGGTGGAAGCGGCCCAAGGGACGGATCTGGATCCCAAATAGAAGTTTTGGAACGTTCCATATGCTGGAGACTCGTCAAAATTATACTGATAAGGCTTAGCGCCGTCATGGTCGCAGATGCGCGCACTCCACACGGCTTACTCCTCGCTCCACCCCGGGCGCTCGTCTTTCAGCTGCCACTTTTCCACCAACACGACACATCGGTGACCGCATTGCACCCATGTCTGCATCGGTCTCCCCATATTCCATATCACGTTGCAGAAACATCTTGCCAAGTTGTCATCGAGCACTTGGTAGAGCTTGGGTAATTGATTGCTCATCCTACATTCAAGATCTCTCAAGTACGAAAGAACCCTATTTTGTTTAAACTACAGCTATGAAGCCCTGAGATTGTGAGTGTTGATAGCAACTCGGCCCGGATAGCATCTGTGCTGGGAAGTATCCCAATTTGTATGACGAGATTCGGATTCAACAATGATCGCAGGCTACTTCGAAGTTATTGCGTACTGTAGGTAGGGCCAGGAGCCTTCATCAAGGCCAAGGTGCCTAACCAAGATTAATCGAAGAGCCAGTGCACAAAGGGTCTACACAGTACAACATCGAGAGTCTCTAATAATCTATATCTCGGTGAACTGGAGGGCACGCATCGGCTTCCTTGCTACACGATGACTTTACAGGGAACCAAAGTGAGCCCAAAATCCACCATTTTCACATGACTTTGCCACGCAAAAGGGTCATCCCAAGCAGCAAGAGGCGGAAAGCATCATGCATCTACATGAGAAGAATAGGTGGAAGAGTAAGGGGCACATTTCCCAACAATATGCAATTAGGTGAACCGCACTCTTCCTCAACTCCTGTCATATAGTATTCGCAAAGATCAACCGCCTGTTTCGCTTGGGTTCTCACCAATGCTATACGATAAGTGGTTTCGTCGCTTGGATGATTCATGTTCTCGAATGTATCCCTCACGGCCCTGTACACTACTCACGCTGTCTTCTCTTCACCCTCCTTTGGCGCCGGGCGATTTGCCTTTGCTCCAGGAGACGCCTTGTACAGTTCGTTGACGTTGAGCTTCTTCAAATCATCCCAGTCACTGCGCTCAATAACACTCATGCCGCAGAAACTCTGCAAATCAGTCAGTTGACGCTCGCCAGCTCTACCCTACTAGTCTCGACTGACCTGGAAAACATCAACAAGTATGACCTTGTCAGCATTGGTGAGATCGACCTTGTGCCGCGGGCTGACGACGCTGGCGATTTGCTTAATGAGCGTATCGCGATCAAGCGAGTTATTGCTGCGTATGGAAGGTCGAATAGCGTACTGCCAATGTGTCAGCCTGGGTCACACAGCCATGGTCTGCCGTCAATGAACTTACCGTGCACGCCGGCTTCTCGACCTGGGCGTCACTTTCCCCCTCAACCTTCTCGGCATCGCCTTCTGCGGCGTGGGATGCCTCCTCTACGAGATCAAAATGCGCAGCCAGAGCCTTTCTCGCTGCTCGCGCCACACCGTTCTCAGATGCCTTGTCCACAGAGGTGACCGGCGTCAGTCGGTTGATGTACTTGGTCTTTCGCTCCTTGAGATCAGTGCAGACGCTGGCGTCTAAGCACATCTTACGGCAAAGCTCCAAGGGGTCGACGGGGTCTCTTGTCTTCATGAAGAAGACACACTCGATGCCAGCCTTGATGGCCTTGAAGGTACGCTTAGTCTTGCCTTTGTTGACATCGCTGATACCATCGAGCTCCTTTTTGATAGAGGCCTCAATGTCCTCGTCTTCCTCATCTGATTCGACTTCTTCCCCTGGAGGAACGATACCGTAGATTGTCTTTGCGTACTACAGGACGTCCAGCCATGTCAGTGAGCGCAAAATGGAAAAGACCGGCAGAATCAACAAACCTCGTCGCAAAGTGCGCTGAATTCGCTAATGGACTTTCCATCCATGCCTCTGGCAAAGGTGACCCAGATACCCTTGTCTCCGACTCCAAGGGCGACGCCCTTATCCTGAAGACTGGCGACCTTTGCCTTGTGTTGCGGCGTCTGCCATTTACCGGAGCCTTGTCCACCCTAGTTCCTCATTAGCTATGAACTTATATTCAAGGATGCAGGCTCTTCTTATTAGCTTGACAAGCCAGGGCCGGGAAGAATGAATGCGCATTGCACTCTGCAGAAATCATATGTAAACATACCTTGCTTCTCTTCGCGGGATGACCACCGCCACCACCCGACTGTTTCCTCTTTGCGTCTGTCATTCTGTACGAACTTTGCGAGCTGCCGCCTTAAAAATAAAAAATAAAATACTGCTAGGCAATGAATTGCTGCGCCTGCGCCTTTATGAGTCGTAAGGATGGAAATTGTGGCTCGTAGGATGGCTGAAAAAGAAGCTTGGTGTGTTGTGCAAGATAGCTAGAAGAGGTAAAAATTGTCACACCGCCCTGAGGCAAGAAACCAGACGAGCTGGACCCGCTATGCCTTCTGGCTTCTTACTGCACCTCAGCTTGCAGAGTATTTCCTCGGCAACCAGGCGACGGCAATGCCCATCAAATGAATGTCCATTGATTAAAGCTTATATGTTACCATGATGAACTCGGCGTCAAAGGTCTCTGGAACGGCTTGCATGTTGTTTAAACTTTATGGCCGAACCATTGCTAGGATACGCTATGAAAATCGTACCTTGCAAGCTAACATGCGATTTGGGCGTATTTTCTAAGACTTCATTTTACAATATCTCACTTAAGCACCGTGACGATAGCATTCATCCGATATCACCTGTCGCAAAACTTGACTGTGCCGCATCCAAAGTTGGGTGACTTGCTAGGTAGGTAGCTGAGGCTCGGGAACGCGGAACAATGCCACCTGCCACCTGCCCATATATCAAGTTACGTCAACTTCACCCCGTCTACTTTCCGATAACCAGAGACAGAGCTGCTAGAAAGAGGTGTCGCGCCCGTAATCCAATTGCTGGCTATAATCTAGCATCGATAATCAGGCAAGCCAAAATGACAATAAAGAGACAAAACTTGCATAGGTCACTGTAACCTTGGGACGCAGACCAGAGATCGACGTGTGCTAGTACTATCACATTTGTTATTATTCTCTACCTTATTGCTGATTGCTCGGGCGCAAAGCGGTGCTCGATACAACAAACCCTCTTTCGTCCTTTTCTTCTGGCCATCTTCAATATTTGGGCCCGGATTCGGCGGAAGCAAGGACTTAAATCGCAACATATGGACAAGGTGATATACTGGAAGAGTGCGTTCAATGTCTGTAAACGACGGAGTGGAAATCTACCTCAACTTACTGATAGCGGGTGCACGAGAATAACCAAATATTCATCTAGTTCATGTATACTCTAGTAGTAGTTTCACTACGTTTAAACAACCAAAAATCTAACACCATAAACAATCATAGAACCAAAACAGTACTTCTAGCCATACGCCGGGAAACCCTTTTCCTGCGCCAAGGAAACAAAAACCCTATTCTATGACAGCATCGTTGCGATCTCTTACTCGACCTTTGCATTATTTCTGGCGCTGGCCTCGGCAGTCATGATCAACGCTCTCGGCGCATCCTCCTTGGGGAGGTAGAGTTCGACGAACTGCAGTGTTGTGGGGTTGTTGAACTCCTTGTCGGTCAAGAGCTTCTCGAGTTCGTCCTTTGTCTTGACCACGAACTTCTTGGCTGTCTGCTCGGTGCCGCCGAACACTGTCGCAAGTTCCTTGTACTGCCACTGGACAATGTCGTTGTACTCAGCCTCCATGCCGTGGATGAAGCGCTCGATGGTGTATCCATCATTGCAGATGACGAAGCTATGATGTAACGTTAGCATGGAACCCTTACAATTGGTACAAGGGAATGGCAGGTTTCAACTCACATTGTCGTCTTCAAGCCATGGCGTAGCATGGTAGTGACCTCCTGGGCCGTAAGCTGGAATGATCCGTCGCCGACGAAGAGAATCGTCCTGCGATCCTCTCCCGCGTCCTTGGCAGCGAGAGCCGCACCTTGAGCAGCACCGACAGACCAGCCGATACTTCCCCAAAAGACCTGACTCAAGGCCGTAACTCCAGCGGGGAACTTGGTGTCCCAGATACCGAAGTTGGCCGTTCCTGTCTCGGTGACGACGATATCGTTCTCGCGAAGGTAGTTGCCAACGCGAGGCCACAGGTATGCCTGAGTGATGGTTTGCGACGGGTCCGAATTGGGGCTAGGCACTCTGTTGATGACCTCGGGTGATGTGACGACGGAAAGCTGGCCCAAGTCGAGACGCTCAGTGACCTTGCGGAGGACTCCGCGCATGGTGATGCCAGGGTACTCAGAGTATCTGACTCTCATGTGTGTGCTGTGGAAGTCGATAGTGTTCAGCTGTGATGTCCTGTAAGAGAATCCAGCGGTGTTGAAGTCGCTCTGTAATACTGTTAGTGGGCTGTCTTTGAATATTGGTAGTGTGTGAATTAATTTACCTTAAGGCCACCAATGGACAAGATCAAGTCTGAAGACTCGAGTCGCTCACCCACGTCGGGCTGCGAAGCGGTACCGGCGTAAACACCACCGTAGTTGGGATGAGTCTCGTTAACGGCACCCTTTCCCATGGGTGTTACGAAGACAGGAATCTTTGTCTTCTCGAGAAGGGCGTGAACCTCAGGGAGAACGCGGTGGCGGATGGCGCAGGCGTCAATCAACATGACGGGCTTCTTGGCGCTGTGAAGGGACTTGAGGATAACGTCAACGACGTAGTCCTCTCTGTCGGGATCGTTGGTGGCCTCCTCGAGGTCAATGGGCGTGGTCAGGCGCTGGCCCTCGATCTTCTTCTGAACCATGTCGGTGGGAAGCATAATGTAGACGGGACGACTGCGGATCCAGCACTCTCGGAGAGCATGATCGATCTGGTTGGCGATCTCGGCGGGGTTGTTGAGGCGAGCAACATCGCATGAAATTTGAGAGCTCATGTTGGAGAAGACGTTGAAGTCGCCATTGCCGAGGGTGTGGTGCAGGAGCATGCCGTTCTTCTGGGAGATGGTGGAGGGGCAGCCGACAATGTGTACGACGGGGATGTGTTCTGAGTAGGCACCGGCAAGAGCGTTGATGGCGGAAAGCTCACCAACACCAAAGGTGGTGATGATGGCAGAGATGCCCTTGACACGGGCGTAACCATCGGCAGCGTAGCCTTGAAGGATGTTAGCTCGTCGAAGCTTACTTGGTATCTTGCTAGATTATAGGATGGTTGCTAACCGGCGTTGAGCTCGTTGACATTGCCAACCCATTTCAAGTCGCACTGGGGAAGATAGTCGAGGGCAACGAGGTTGAAGTCACCGGGGAGACCGTGAACGGAGCGGACTCCGAGCTCGTGAAGCCTCTTGAAAAGGTATTCGACGACGTCAACAGGCTCTATGAGCCCTTGAGTTCTGATATCAGCCATTGTTGAATTGGTGTGTGAGCAGCTGATAGTGTATGAGGGGTAGCTCTGAATGCTGCCTCGAGTGTTTGTTGGAGGGATGCTTTGTATGTGTAGATCTGGAATGAAGAAGGAGAGAATAGTTCCAAGTCAAAGCCAGAGGCGTATAGACTTATATCAAAGTCAACGACCTGCGGGAATGGCGATGTTATTGATGTTCCCAGTCGGACTCGGACTCACTCGAGTCTCGGCATCAGTGCATGGGTCGGCCAGGATCGTCAAGTCAGACCACTGGCCATTGCAGATGGAAACGACAGGGCTATCGGCGATGGGCGACAGCTCATGTAGCTCCATTTTCGTATAAGTGACAAGATACTAAGAGCTACCAAGGCGGCTGAAGCGCAGTGGGTACCGGGTCTCGGCATGCCACGGGCTCTATCAAGATTTGGGTGAAAGGGGACCAAGATTGGGTCCTGGCACCAGACGGAAAAAGACGCGAGATGATAGCGTTGTTACCCATCATAGTGCGGCTCAGAATAGAGTGGAAGGCGAGCAGACAACTGTGGATTGCACCGAGTAAGGAGACACAGTCAACGGTGATGTAATGGAACACGCCACAGGTTGCGGTCACCAATACACCGGGCTCAAGCCGGACTAGGCCGGGGGGCTCCGGATGTGAGGTGAGGTGAGGTGAGGTCCCAGATATCTGAGGGAAAAAAGGATTTATTTTGGTACCCTTGCACTATTCGACGTAAGGGAACATTTTACGGATAGTGAGACAATGGAATGGGACGATAATAAAGTTGCCCGCGTTCAGGGCAGAACAGGGAAGAATGTGTGCGTATCCTTACTGTGCATCCGTATCCGTACGTGGTTTGTGGGTTTTTGGGTCCTTTCGCAGAGAGAGTGCAGAAGAGAAAAGTGACAGTTCTGGGCAGTATAAGGCCTAGAACACGCCAGGACCAACCGACCCTTGTCCCTGTCTGTGAGGCAAGCCCGCTGCCCGGCTGGCAACTTGGCTAGGTACGCAACCGTTAACAGCATGGGATCTGCGCCCATCTCGTCGGGATTCTGCGGCGTGCCATGCTGTCTCCCACCCTCCCACGCTCCATATCCGTACGAATTCATATCTTAGCCGAACTTGGAACCTTCGCATCCTGTTTTGAGCCAACATAAGACCATGACATGAGCTTGGAACCTTGAGGATCAGCGACGATGCACTGCTACGACTCAGACAATTCCATGGGGGTTGTAGCTTCGCTTCCGGTTTTTCCTGACCGCTCCTTCTTGTTGTTATCGTACGCAAAAGGGGGGAGGGGAGGGAAAGTGAAGGAAAGAGGCGCACCATTCGACATGATCTGATGTTGGGCCCAGCCTATCGGCCCTGCTACGGCGCAACGGCCCAAATAAACCGCAAGTACATAGTGCATCGTGCGCCTGTAAGCTGCGGAGCCGGGCCCGGGACCCGCTGCGCTTGACTTCGGGCCGCCGCTCGAAGACCGAATTATATTGCGGCGCCATTCGGAGGAATCACTTGAGTCCAAGGCCCGAAGCTGAGGGCGGCCGAATAGAACGACTGACTTCCTCCCTTATTCTCAATGGTTTTTTTTTTTTTTTTTTTTGAGCAAGTTTCGCCAACGAAATACTTGATCAACTATCAATCTGACAGACCAGCTCTAACACTGGCCTATTCCTCCTGCCGGGCAGAATTCTGCAAATATCAGATCATATTTTGAGGATCAGCAATGGCCAATCGGAGAAGCACGGCGAAGATCTGCATGCATAAGTTTCTCCAAAGACAGGAATCCGTCATTCGTGATCTCAACCAACTGCAAGCAACGACGCCCAATTCTTGGCAAGGGGTGTGCCGCAATAGTAAAGTCTTACAAGCAACCTCTTACGGGCAATCCATTACAGATAGTCTGCTTATTTCACTTTTGTTCTATGTGGAGGGTATAGTATTCTACATGCGGTTCAGCATGCTGTCTTGCTCTGCTGCCGCTGGGAGAGTAGCATCGTCTATCAAAGTCCAACACCAGTAGCCATGTTCGCGATCTTACTGCGTGTGCCCGTCGCCTTTGGTCGTTTTGTTTTGTACACATTTGTACATTTCGGAGTTTCGAACAGCGTCGCTTTCAATCACAGCGACCGTCTTTCCAGCCTGTCCGCCATCGCTCTTCCCATTTGCTGCAGTCAAACTCCTTCTTGCCCAGCTTCCGATTGACCTCGTTGTGCGCCTCGCACAGCCAGTTTCCAAACTCGTTCCGCCCCTCAACTCGAATCTGTTCCTTTTGTATGTATGTTTGGAAATCTTCGGCGCAGACCCAGCAAGGGTACAGCTTGGAAAATAATCTCATGAAGCCTCGGAGATCGTCTTTCTGGCTGGGAGAAGGCTTTTCGGGGTATGTCGCGGCGATCGAGTGAAGCAGTTGCCAAGTGCCCCGTCCGAGGGCTTCGACGTCCGGGGGACAGTCGTCAATAGGCGCCGAGGTCACCGGAGTTGCTTTCTTCACCGAGCCGCCCATCTGGGAAGCCCAGCTCGAAAAAGCGCTCTTGGACGAGCAAGACCGACACCTGAAGGTAACCCATATCAGCTGCAACTCTGCAAAAGGAGCACGCACGGATCGGGCCAATGCCGACACATCACCGCTGAAGTTGACTTGGGAACTTACGGCTTGCCATCTGGGCCCAAGACCATTCCCTTTGGTAAAGGCTTGGGCTGCTCAGCTGCCGCCGTCACCACGGGGGTAGTGACGCTGCTTAATTGAGGGTCTCGCTCGGCGTCGGCCATGATGATAACGCTGCGCGAGATTTTCGCCCTTGTCGCGAGAAGCGAAACCACTATCGACGGGCCCTATAGAAAGAGAATGGATGCGACAAGGGACTTGAATGGGGTGATCTACCAAGTGCGCGCGATCTCGGACAGTCTACAAGTTTCGGTTGGGAGGAATTTGTAAACTGGTGGACTGTGACGATTGAATGTTCACAGCGGACCGTTATCGATAAGCCATCAATTTGCGAGGTGCCTGAGCGCCTCAAGTCAGATAAGCCACTAAAGGTACGGAGTAAGGTACCAAGATCGTAAGGCACTAGGTGTTCTCGATCTGAAATCCCAAAGTGATGATGCCGGGTCCATGGGTGGCCGGCTCCCGTCGGCAAGCGCCGGGAGAGCTCCGAAGTGTGACACCCGGTACCTGCAATGGGAATTTGGTCTGCGTAGATTTGGAACTTGGTGTGGTGTGAGGCGAGAGTCTCACGGTTTACGGATACCAAGTGCTGCAATCGGCGCCTTACCGGAGGATCCGCCGCTCAATCGATTCCACGCCATCCGCAAGGTACCGAAGAGATGAGGTGGGGTGTTTCTTGTCTCTGAGCCGCATGGCAGTCCAAGGTCAACCCATTAGTGTAGGTAACCCTAGCAGCTGTCTTTTCGGACCGTCGAAATGCATCCATGACCCGGGAGTTCTTGCAGGAGTATCCGTAAGGCAAGGTGTGAATAGATCCACTTGATCCTAGCCACTGGGTGCTCTCTACTCATTGCGACTCGGGAGCAGGCCATGTGTCTGGTATTCCCCGACAACCCCCATTTAAATCCCCCGAGCGGGTGATTTGGTTAAATGTACGCATACTTGGCCGCGTTTCGTACATCTCATACGAGGGACTCGCCTAGATGCTGTGGTGCTGCGTTGAATATGCGTTGGACCTGAGGTCGGCCTTGGAGTTAAGAATGGCGTTGAAGGCGAGTCGCTGAAGGGGAAGATTTGTATAAGTGAACTGGCATTGACTTACCTAAGACAGTACGTAACTCTATTCTAGCTCCGCCTGCGAAAATTCACCCTTCAGCGGGGCATCATCGCTCAATGCGATAATGCGATAAACGTTGTGCCAGCGAAGTCAATTCCGAGGAAGCGTACCTAGCTGAGCGGCAGATCGCCACCCTTGGTATTCAATGAATTCGAGACGACCAACTGTTTAATTCACCTGATCACTTGATGGGTGACGCATAAGACCGCAACGATATCCGCCATGGCTCAGAACCCCTCATCAACTCCCGTGGTCAAGGTGCCCGTCCTGCTTCTCAAGACCAAATCAACCCCGGGCGATTCATATGAGGACCTACTCTCACGTAAAAACGACGGGTATGCCTTTGAACCAGCTTTTGTCCCGGTCTTACACCACACCTTCCAGGAACAGGGCATGGCGACGGTGAGGGACGTCTTGCAGCACCGTGGCATCAATGCTGGCACCGACGCCTCTTATGGTGGTCTCATTTTCACCTCGCAGCGAGCGGTGGAGGCATTTGCCAGCCTGGTAGATGAAAAAAAGGGTCAGTCCGTGTCGTAGATGAGCATGAAGGGCAGAGCTGACCAGATTTGACAGGCACCGAAGAAGACTGGCCTCACCTCCAGAATGTGCCAGTCTACAGCGTCGGCCCAGCCACCACACGAGCTCTCCAGTCCATCTCACAGCATGCCCCGTTGCAGATCTTCGGCGAGCACACGGGCAATGGCGATGCCCTGGCCAAGTACATCTTGGACCATTACGGTCAATGGTACCTAGGACGGCCGACGAAGCCACCGCTTCTCTTCCTCGTTGGCGAGCAGAGACGGGATGTCATCCCCAAAACCCTCATGAACACCAACTTGCCCAGCGAACAAAGTATCCAAGTAGAAGAGGTCGTGGTCTACGGCACAGGCGTCATGGAATCCTTCCCTCAAGACTTTGAGAATCACCTGAAAGCCACCGAGGACCGGCCGACGCGGTGGGTGGTTGTCTTCTCCCCGACTGGATGCGAAGGCATGCTGCGCGGGCTCGGAATGCTGGACGAGTCGACGGGCAAGGTCAAGAAAGACGAGCTGGAGGGGCGCAGAACATTCATTGCAACGATTGGCCCGACGACGAGGGACTACCTGAGACGAACATTCGACTTGGATCCAGATGTTTGTGCAGAAGAGCCAAGTCCAGCAGGTGTTCAGCGAGGCATCCTTGACTTCATGGGAAAGCATACATGACATCTTCCCGGA